TGAATGGAAAGACGAATTTACTTCGGAGCAACTGCTGAGCTCTTCAGACAGTTGGCTCCGAGTTCGTGACCCTACAACAACAAACAACCAAACAATGTCTGTTTTTTTTTTTTTTTTCTTTTTTTAGTTATTTTATATTTGATGATTTTGTATTTTTCGTGTCTTTTTTGTGCTGTGAGTAAAACCATTTTTCTCTCGAATGTCGTGTTTCCCAACACCAAACTATATATAATTTCTTTTTAAATAAGTTTTAACGCTACCATCAATAACTAATTCCTCGGCCTAAAATGAAATAAGAACGGCAGATTAAAACCAACCCTTACCCCCCCCTCATTGGAAGCCTGGTTGCGTTCTCCAGTACCACCGAGGGATCGTTATGTGTAGGACACTTCCCGCCGAACTGGCCCAGGCGAAGGACGGCACGAGACTCCGTGACCTCGTCGAGAAAGTCGCCATAGATCTCTACCACCGATACCTTGGTTCAGTCAAATATAGCACCATAGGAAACCCCCAGCTTTACCACTGTGGAACTTTGACTATCGGCAGTGAAGGCCATGCTGCTGGAGGTGAAGGTATACCGGAGGTTCAGAGAGATCCTTATCAAACATCTCCCTTGTTTCATATATATACTGACGACTCCAAGACAGAGGAACATGTGGGAGCGTGTATGGGCGATTAAAGTGAACTCAATTTCAGACTGCCGAATCATACATCGATATTTGTAACCGAACTTTTTGCTATTGATAAAGCTAGAGACTTTGCACTATCAAAGACCTTAAATAGAACCGTCATTTGTCTTATAGATACACAAATTCATTTTTTCTGACTCATGAAATTCACTTATTGCCTTTAAATAATTAAAAAACACTAAAAATGAACTACAGGGCAATATTCGTAAGCTGCTTAGTGCCAACAAATCAACCAAGGCCATTCTGGTACTCATGGCAATGAAAAGGCTGGCAAATTAGCCGGATCAAAGAAACTTAAGAAGCTCATTTGTCTTATAGATAACAAATATCTCCGTGCAGAGTGACTGGGCCAACCTACAAATACACCACAAAATCAAACCCACGAGAACAATGGAAGGGAGGACGTGGTGGTCAGGGTCAGTGCCACCAGAATCGCCCCCACACTCCCTACATAGAGAGAACTTTCACTCCACTATGTCCTTACTGCAACAACCACCTTCCTATCGATCACATTCCCTTAATGTATCACCAGTTTACTCATAACCGAAGAAATTTTCAAAATTATTTTCCATATAAAAGATAAAGGATTTACGATATCAAAACCCACTAGCAGATCAATAAAATGATAACTTATGTGATATTTATTATTTTTCTAAGGGAGACTGACTTTATGGCCTTAGATTGAAGTAATGAATATGATCCATTGGCTTAATTATCTTGACTAGCTGTTAACATTGCCATATGACGCTGGTCGATTGCCAAGAACTCCAACAAGCAAGCTAGCAACCTGTGTAGGCACATTCGAGTGTGAGAGGCGCTCAGACCTTCCAAACGCAGCAGCAATAAATACAAAGTCGTGTGCCACATGTCTCTGTCTCGCTCGGCATTATTATTTCTGTGTTTCGTAAAGTAAACCAAATAGAGAACATTTTGTTTTGCCTGAACCTACAGTGCTGCGATCTTGCAGTTCAAACGAGACTGCAGTAGTAGTTAGCACCTCACCCCAGAACCGCGGCACTTGTACACTAGGGTAGCCTTTGTTTACTTTAATCCCTGGGTAGGAAGAACCAGTAACCTGGGGCGTCTCTTTGGGCGTACTTTTACTCTGATCTGAAATCTTTCTTTTTTCATGTGACCTTCCTAAGCCTACCGGAGTTGCCTTGTGGGCTCCTGTATTCGCCGTGGGTGGCGGAGAGCGCAACCAGGTTTCCACTTGGGGCTGAGGATAGAAAATTGCCATACTCTCCTAACTCTTGCTGTCAGGTTGATGTTTGTGTGTATTTAAATGAAAACATATACACACATATATATATATATAATATGTATACACCACACACACACACACACACACACACACACACACACACTATATATATATATATATATATATATATATATATATATATATTTATATTTATTTGTATATTTATATATATATATTTATATATATTTTATATATATATATATATATATATATATATATATATATATATATATATATATATATATATATATATATATATATATATATAGATACAGTGTGTATATGTATATTTATATGTATGCGTGTATGTATGCATATATCTATGTAAGTATGAATGTACATATGTATCTATATATGAATGTATGTACAACACACGCACACACACAACACACCACACACACACCACACACACACACACACACACATATATATATATATATATATATATATATATATATATATATATATATATATATATTATATATACATGTGTAAATCATGTGAATGTGTGTGTAAATCAGCATAGCTAGATTAATGGATAAATTTTCAATTACATATATAGGTATTGATAGATAGATATTTGATAGACAATATCAGGAATATATATAAATATACGTAAGCGCAGAAACACACACACAAATACACACATATATATATAAGTATACACGTCTTTACATATATACATATATGTATATATGTATATATACACATATATATATTTTACATGTATATATATATAATATATATATATATATATATATATATATATAGAGAGAGAGAGAGAGAGGAGATAGGGAGATACATACATATACATGTATGTATATACATATGTATATATATATATGTATATATATATATATATATATATATATATATATATATATACATTTATATATATACATACATATGTGTTTGTGTGTGTGTGTGTGTGTGTGAATTATCATATATATATTTATTATATATTACTTATATATATATATATATATATATATATTATATAATATATATATACATATATTATATATATATTATATATATATATATATATATATATATATATATATATATATAAGTACTGATAGATATATAGATACACAGACACTAAATTAGCCGTAATCTTACGCCTTTTAGTTTGTAAAGGGCCATTTTCAGAGTCCTGGCGCTTTGGTAATGTTACCCTTATTCCCAAGGGCCCACTACAGTTTACACCAATTACACCAATTTTATCCAAGGTTTTTGAACGTTTGCTGGTCAAACGTCTTTCTGTACATGTGAGACCGTTTCTTCCAGAGACTCTGGTTTTAGAAAGGGACTCGACTGCAATGATACACTGCTTATGTTGGTGCATGAAATGCAGTCTGCTTTAGATAAGGGTCATGAGTCAAGACATGTCTCGCTGGATTTTAGTGTAACTTTTGACACTGTTAATTACAAGGGTTTAATTTTTAAGTTACAGTCTTTTGGTGTAGGTGGTAAAGTTTTAAGTATTTTAACTGAATTTTTAACTGGTAGGCAGCAGCGTGTTCATGTTGATGGTAGTTTTAGCTCGTATTCCCGTGTGTCGTCTGGGGTTCCCAAGGTAGTGTTCTCGGCCCTTTGCTCTTTATCTTATATACAAGCGATATGTGGTCTGGCATTAAATGTTGACATATGCTGATGATACTTCTCTCTATGCTGACATTCCTTCTCCGGCAACCAGGCAAATAGTAGCTGACAGTCTCAATGTAGACCTGATGATGATTCAATCTTGGTGCTCTCGGTGGGGAATGAAATTAAATCCTATTAAGTCTAAGGAAATGATTGTGAGTCGGTCTCGAACGCAGTTGCCTCAGCATCCAAGTCTGCTGATTAATGGAGTCTTAATCACTTCAGTGGATAACCTGAAGCTCTTAGGTGTAATCTTTGATTCAAAGCTTACATTTGAATTGCATATTAGGAATATGGCCCAGGCAATTTCATCAAAGTTAGGCATCATTCGCAAGTGATGCCTAACTTTTATTCTGCCTCATTTTGAATATTGTTCTCCTGCGTGGTTATCTGCTGCAGATACATTTAAGACTGATCGATCTTTTAATTCCATTAAATTTCTCCTGTCTGACTTAAATTTGGATACTGGACATCGTGGAGTTATTGGGGCTCTTTCAGTCTTATACAAGATTGTAACCGATAATTCACATCTCCTCTATATGTTTTTACTTGATTTTTATGAACCTCAATTCAATGATATTTGATGTAAGTCGATCGTCTACAAGTCAGTTTTCTAGATGTTTTTTTTACTACTATTTGTAGACTATGGTACAGATTGCCTTCAGAGATTGTAACTTCTTTGACTCTTGATAAGTTTAAAACGTCAGCTAGCATGTTTTTCTTACATAATATATATGTGTGTATGCATATGTATATAGGTGTGTGTATATATGTATTTATGTATGTATATATGTCTGTGTGTGTGTATGTATATATGTGTGTGTATATATGAGTATACACATATGCATATATATATACTTATATATACATGTATATAGATATATACATACACACACACACACACACACACACACATATATATATATATATATATATATATATATATATATATATATATATATTATATATATGTGTGTGTGTGTGTGTGTGTGTGTGTGTGTGTGTGCATACGGACATATATACATGTTTGTGGATGTACTTTTTATTTGCATTTCAGAAATATTAATGTTTAATTTTCTAGCAAAAGAATTTTCATCGTTTTGCCTTCAGAAATATTTTAATATCACGAATTTATATATGCATATACGTAAACACAGAAAGACACACACACACACATATATACATATATATGTATATACATATATGTGTGTATATAAAATTCGTTTGAGTGAAATTTACGTTACACATTCATAAAAATAAAGATGTGGATAATGAATATTACTGTAGATATTATGACTTTCAATGATAGGCTCTCTATTTTCCATGTGTTCCAATTAATTGGTGATACAATTTGTATTTCATCTAAACTTTATTGTCATTAGAGTTACTTTTGCCTCGTC